CTCTACACTTCCCTGCTCTGCTTCCCGCCCCTTCAGGAAGAGAGCAGTCAGAGATCTGCTCGCTCGCTGCGGCCGCTGCGCCAGCACCAACCATTGCGTCCTCCTTTTCCTTCCACCCGGTTTTGAAGGGAGCGCCCGGCGGCCGGCGCGCCCCAGGCTGGGCAGGTCTTAGCGGGTGGCGCGGTCTCCCCTCCCCGGAGGTTGTCAGCGAATCACGTTGTTCCTGGGATTTCACGGTCGAGTGGCTCTTGCGTAACCCTACGTCCTGGCCTAAGCTAATACTTTTTAAAAATTTTAATACCAGAATTAATCCTTTAGGAAACGGCAAATATTTCCGCCCCCGAACCCGCCCCGGAGGAAATGTGTAAATTACCATGCTGACTCGATTCCCTCACCCCCACAGCCTCGGGCGTTCCTGGCAACCGGGATGGGGGCCCTTAGAGAGACCGGAGGAGCGCCCAGCCCAGACGTTTGTTTTCTTCTACTCCGAGGCCGCTGAGCGGGAGGCGGCTCTAGCTCTAGCGGGCAGAAGAACCGGGTCCTACTTAGGGCAGGGCTGAGCGTTACCAAAAAAGGGCTTTCTCTTGCCCGAGCGCTTGGCAGCGCGCGCTGCAGCGGGGGTGACGCGAGGTTCAGCCCGGGCCTCCTGGAAGACCCAGCCAGCTGGCTGCAGGGATGCCAGGCCTGAGTCCCCCGCCAGATCCATCTCGGCCACAAACGGGCGGGGGCGGGAGGAGGAGAGAGATTGCAGGGAGCTCAGAAGTGCCTGGGTGCGCTGCGACCTTCTCACCCCTAATGTCGGGTTGTGGCCTCCAGAAAGGCCAAGTGGAGAGCTGACCTTGTGTTCCAGTTAAGAGCGGGGTTCTCTGAGGGTGCCAGCTCAGATCGCAAGCCGGGGGTGGGGGTGGAGGGTGAGGGCGGAGCAGTCACCATAGGAAAGACCTTAAGGGAGGGCTGCAGGCCTTTCCTCTTGCTCCTGGTTGAGTCTTGACTCTGCTGGCTTCTCAGACCCCAGCGCCGGAAGTCCTTCTCGCTCCATCTGATGTCTTAAGTTGAGCATCCCCTCTGGTTCTCCCACTGGCCTGTTCCTTCCCACTGGGGACACAGTATTGTCATGTGGGATTCAGGGAAAATCTATCTCCAAAACCTCGATGTTCTTCCCTCTCACAATCCCTGGCACACCCCTAAACAGGGCCATCTCAGACAAGCAATGGAGGCAAAATTTATCTCCATAAATGATGCTGATTTTTTGAGAGCGGGAAGGGTATCAAGAGAGCTATGCTTTTTAAATTAAAGAGTTAGGAGACTTTAATGGAAGTTTGTTTAAATGCATGTTTATTTATAACTTGGTAACTTGGTGTGTCTGAAGATACCGTGTGTGTGTGTGTGTGTGTGTGTATCCTTTAGTAACAGGGAAGAGGAAGACAGACAAGGAGATGCAGACGTGTTTGCGCATATCAAACATAACACTATGAGAGAATCCAACTTGCTTTCTCTAGCAGCCTGGCTAGAGGGTTGGGGCTAAGTTGCTAATCTTCAGTATTTTTGGTTTAATAAAGGGATGGGCTGTACAAATATTAATGTAAAGAAATGGGGAGACCAGTCTAGCCAAAGCAAAGAGCCCTGCGTTTTGGGCTGATGGGGCTGTCACTCCGTTTCCCAGCCCTATGTTTTGACTCACTCCAGGGTAGCTGTGGTGTGGGGAGGGCTGAAGTCTGGGAGGGTGAGGCAAGGTTCCTGGAGCGGCTCTTTGCAGAGGAATCACTGCCCAGAGCCAGCCAGGCCAGGGAAAGTTTATTATTGTTGGGGAGTGCACAGTGAGCTCACTGTTTTGCAAAAACAGAAATCTGGCTGCTTTGAGATGAAAGAGGGGCTCCCTAGGGCTCTTCTTCTCCCCTTTCTCCCTATCCTTAAAAACGCCTCTTCCTTCGCACCTAGGGCCCAGAATGAGGGGGAGATCGAGTGCTGGATGGGGGAATAGGCTCTGAAGGTCAAAATAAAAATAAATACTTCTTGCTTCAACTGTACTTTATTACAATTAGTAGTAATAGTAAGAATAATGTTCTTTACAGTTTATGCAATTTACAAAGTACTTTAACCTGTTAACTAGCAATAGTACTAACATTAATATCAATACTAATAATACACAATACTTACCAACAGGTTCCTATGAGCCTGACACTGTGCTCTGCATACTGTATGGTGATTTATGTTACAGTCTGTGGCAGTGGCAGATCCACAACTTCTGTATTTGGAAGAACTCAGTGGCTCAATCTGTTTGGAAGGGGAGGATTGGAGTTGGCTATAAAGGTGTATTTGCATAGTACTTTACAGGAGATTGTATGTAATAAAGAATAAGGGAGGGGCTGATGGAAATTTTGAGCACCCCAAATCACCTCTGAGAAGCCAAGCTTGTCAAAGTCACATCTCAAATTAGATTTACTGGATTCAGATCTCAGCTCCCTCTCTAATGGCCACGTGACCTTCCGCAAGTTATTTAACCTCTTAACTTTCTGAGCCTAGGAATCAGCGTTAATAATGGAATCTACCTGTAGACAATATTGAGGGTTTAATGATGATACAAGTAAACCACCTACCAGCGCCGGGCTCACAGCAAGCCTCAGAGGACTTACCGCCTATTGTGACAAGAAACAAAATGAAATTCCCAACAGTTTTAATATGTTGGGAGCTATTATCCCATTTTGCAGATGTGCGGTTATGTGAAGATAAGTAACTAGTTCAAGGTCACAAAGCCAGTACAGCAGGTCCTCCAATAACGACATTGCTTTCAAGGTCATTTCTTTATAACAGTGATGTTGATAAAGAAATACTGTAGGAACCCAACTCTCATTTATAACAATTAGCCTATGGTAAACTTGGTTTTGCTTAAGGTCATAGAACTATTGATGATGCTAAGTGAGGTTGTACTGTAAGGGATGAAGAGGAAATTCCATCCTGGTCTTCCAGACTCCAGAACCTCCATTTCCCAGATAGCCTCCCTTCTCCATCCCTACCCAGGATTATCTCAGTTTTTAATGAGGGGGAAAAGGCAAAATAACAACAGTAACAACAACAAAAACACCCCAGACCCAGTATTTAAAAGAATCAGTTGAAATGCCCCAACTAGAGCAACATATCTGTTCGGCAATAAGCATTATGAGGAGCAGTGATCTTGTAAGCAGAAAAGAAACCATGGGCTTGCTTAGCCTTCTGGCACCATGGAATGAAATCACAGCACGTGAGAAATAACTTTGTAAATTGTGCTGTGCTTTACAGAGAGATATCAGTATTATTAAATCTGCCCCACCTTCTTTTATCAAACCCGTAAAAACCACTCACCTGTTTGGCCTCTCCAGCAGCTCTCCCTCCCTGCCCCCAACTGCAGCTGTGTGCAGCCAGTTGACTGTTTTCCTTAAAGGCCTCCGGGTGCTCGTAGCTTCTTTAGACATTCAGCCAAAATTTTTAGACTGCGGCTGGGGGGAGGGGTAGCTCACCCGGAATTCATTTAGCTCCGTCGTTGAAGCTCAGGTTCCTAGACTAGTACACAAAAACAAATCGAAAAGGCAGTTTCTGGAAGAATGGAAAACAGCGAATTTTGCAGGTGTTTCAGCAGTAGTTGTTAGCAATGAATGTGGTCCCCTCCACCCAGTTCCCACTCCACCCTCTGGGCTGGAGGAAAGGTTTAATTGCAGATGAAATGGGTAATACTCTATATGAAATTCACAGCGAAAATTTGAAACAGGACATTTAAATTCACTGCCCGAGGTCGGGTGGGAAGCGGGATCGGAAATGCGCTTGTGGTTTTTAAATGCGTTTTTACTCGGGAAAGCCGGGCTCGGAAAGGAAAGGTCATCGTCTTGTTTAATTTCCACCCCCCCCGCAACCCTGGACTTGCAGCATTAGCTCGCCGAGTCTCAGCTGTTGTACACACACGGCGAGGGGGGAGGGGAGGGCGGAGGCGCGGAGGAGGGGCCGACAGGGAGGAATCTG